CCTAACACAATGAACCAAACTCTCCGGCTAATTGCCCTTCTGTGGCCACTGCCAGGTCTCCTGCTTGGCCACTTTCAGCACCATTTAAAGTAGAAGACACAGGCTTCAGAGACAGCCAGACCCAAGTGTAAATCCTGACTTTTCTACTTAAGAGCTGGGTGTCACTGGGCAAGTCACTTTTACGTTTCAGAGCCTTGGTTTTCTCATTTGTGATACAGAGACCCTGTCTGTAAGGTTGGGTTATTATAAAGATTAGAGATGATGTATCTGAAGCAACTTGGAAAGCGTTCAGTAACTCTGAGATATTCCACTTGGCAGCAGTGTTAGCAGCTGACCAGACCTGGGTCTGAACTGCACATGGTGACTTATGAGCTGTGTGATCCTAAAATCATGGAGTGCAGTGCCTGGCGCATAGGAAATGCTCAATAAATGGTGTGTGTTGTATACGGAGCGCATATATGTATATATGTTCTTGACCCTGAGGGAGAACCTTGTGAGGGTCTGGAAGTCCCTGTTCAGCCATATTCACGGTCCTGCCATCTCCCACCCCCCAGCAGGGCTGTGGTTTTACCTGATGATCTCTCAATGCCTCAGAAATACTGCGAGTTCACTTCCAGACCACCACAATAAAGTGAATATCGCAATAAAGCAAGTTACGTGAATTTTTGATTTCCCAGTGCATAGAAAAATTATGTTTACACTATAAGTGTGCAAGAGCATTACATCTGAAAAACAATGTACGTACTCTAATTTAAAATACTTTAGTGCTAAAAAATGCTCAACCATTATCTGAGCCTTGCGTGAATCATAATCTTTTTGCTGGTGGAGGGTCCCGCCTCGACGTTAGTGGCTGCTGACTGATCAGGGCGGTGGTCTCTGAAGGGTGTGGGGGGACGGATGTGGCAATTTCTTAAGATAAGACACCAGTGAGATTTGCTGCATCGATTGACTCTTCCTTTCACAAACGATTTCTCTATAGTATGCAGTCCTGCTTGATAGCATTGTTTGATTTCCCCATAACAAATACAGTACAGGTATAACTCGCTTTACTGTGCTTTCAAACTTTTTCATTATTATTATATTTCTTATGGTGATCTGTGATCAGTGATCTTTGATGTTGTGTTTTGATGTTTTTATACTTGTTTTGGCATTTTTTAGCAATAAAGTATTCTCTAGGTATGCCTGTAACAGGAGGCGCTACCCTAGAGACTTGCATACAGAATGGGAATTATTGGAGATGCCGTCTTGGTCTAGTCGTGGGGTGGGACTGAGGTGGAACCTCAGCTTTATCAGGCAGGAGTCTGCCATCCTCATTTAGCCTTTTCTGAAGTTAAAGGGATACTAGTACCAAAGCGCTTGTACACATAAGCCAGAAACACACACAACACAGTGTTCAAAAGCTGTGGGAGCCAAGCTGCTGCATCCGGGTCCTGCCTCTGCCCCTTTCTAGCTTTGTGACCTTGGTAAGTTACATAAATTCTCAGTGCCTCAGTTTCCTCACCTGTAAGATGGGGATAATAGGAATACCAACCTCATAAGGTTGTAGAATTAAATGGGTTAATAGATGTAAAGCACTTAGAACAGTGCCCAGTGCCCTGTAAATATTAGCTTTGATTACTGATTATATGCACTGGGGAGCCAGGATAAATTTTTTTTCTTTAGTTGTACTTATTTTTTTAACTTTCCATTTGATATAATTTTACAGGAAAGTTACAAGAATGGTACAAGGAACTTCTGATGCCCTTTTCTCCAATTCACCTACTGTTAACTTCTTCGACTTGCTTTAAACTTTTCACATGCACAAGCTCCCTCGCTCACTCTCTCTGCACACATACGTGTTTTCTTTGAACCGTGTGAGCTAATCTGTAGACATCACGATCCTCTATCCATAAATATTCAGTGTGTGTTTCTAAGAACACAGACTTTTACATAAGCAAAATACATTTATTAAAATCAGAAGCTAGGGCCTTCCCTGGTGGCGCAGTGGTTGGGAGTCCGCCTGCTGATGCAGAGGACACGGGTTCATGCCCCGGTCCGGGAGGATCCCATATGCCGCGGAGCGGCTGGGCCCGTGAGCCATGGCCGCTGGGCCTGCGCGTCTGGAGCCTGTGCTCCGCAACGGG